GAGAGAGAGAGAGAGAGAGGAGAGAGAGAGAGAGAGAGAGAGAGAGAGAGAGAGAGAGAGAGAGAGAGAGAGAGAGAGAGAGAGAGAGAGAGAGAGAGAGAGAGAGAGAGAGAGAGAGAGAGATGAGAGAGAGAGAGAGAGAGAGAGAGAGAGAGAGAGAGAGAGAGAGAGAGAGAGAGAGAGAGAGAGAGAGAGAGAGAGAGAGAGAGAGAGAGAGAGAGAGAGAGAGAGAGAGAGAGAGAGAGAGAGAGAGAGAGAGAGAGAGAGAGAGAGAGAGAGAGAGAGGGAAAGAGACAAAGAGAGAAAAGGAGAAAGAGAGGGAGAGAAAGACAGAAAGAGAAACAGAGGTGAGAAAGAGAGAGGGAAAAGGGAGAAAGAAGGAGAGAGAGAGAGAGAGAGAGAGAGAGAGAGAGAGAGAGAGAGAGAGAGAGAGAGAGACAAGGACAGATGTGTTTTGTTTCTGCTGCAGAAACAGAAGTGACCTCAGGGGCATAAAAGAGGGAGTATTATACTTGTGTGAGTGTTATGAGTCATGAGTGTGGTTAGTAAAAGTGCCGTGTGGATAAAAGTGCCATTAGTAAAAGTGTCATAGTAAAAGTGTCATGTGGATAAAACTGTCGTTAGTAAAAGTGCCATTAGTAAAAGTGTCGTTGGTAAAAGTGTCATTGGTAAAAATGTTGTTAATAAAAGTGCCGTGGGTTAAAGTGTCATATTAAAAGTGTCGTAGTAAAAGTGTCGTTAGTAAAAGTGCCATTAGTAAAAGTGTCGTTAGTAAAAGTGTCGTAGTAAAAGTGCCATTAGTAAAAGTGCCATTAGTAAAAGTGTCGTAGTAAAAGTGTGGTTAATAAAAGTGCCATTAGTAAAAGTGTCGTAGTAAAAGTGTGGTTAATAAAAGTGCCATTAGTAAAAGTGTCATAGTAAAAGTGTCGTTGGTAAAAATGTTGTTAATAAAAGTGCAGTGGGCAAAAGTGTCATATTAAAAGTGTCGTAGTAAAAGTGTTGTAGTAAAAGTGTGGTTAATAAAAGTGCCATGTGGATAAAAATGCCGTTGGTAAAAGTGCCGTGTGGATAAAAGTGCCGTGTGGATAAAAGTGCCGTTAGTAAAAGTGTCATAGTAAAAGTGTCGTGTGGATAAAACTGTCGTTAGAAAAAGTGTCGTGTGGATAAAACTGTCGTTTAGTAAAAGTGTCGTTGGTAAAAGTGTCATTGGTAAAAATGTTATTAATAAAAGTGCCATGGGTAAAAGTGTCGTATTAAAAGTGTCGTAGTAAAAGTGTTGTAGTAAAAGTGTCGGTAGTAAAAGTGTGGTTAGTAAAAGTGTCGTGTGGATAAAAGTGCCGTGTGGATAAAAGTGTCGTGTGGATAAAAGTGCCGTGTGGATAAAAGTGCCGTGTGGATAAAAGTGCCGTGTGGATAAAAGTGCCGTGTGGATAAAAGTGCCGTGTGGATAAAAGTGCCGTGTGGATAAAAGTGTCGTGTGGATAAAAGTGCCGTGTGGATAAAAGTGCCGTGTGGATAAAAGTGCCGTGTGGATAAAAGTGTCGTGTGGATAAAAGTGCCGTGTGGATAAAGGTGCCGTGTGGATAAAAGTGTCGTGTGGATAAAAGTGTCGTGTGGATAAAAGTGCCGTGTGGATAAAAGTGTCGTGTGGATAAAAGTGTCGTGTGGATAAAAGTGTCGTGTGGATAAAGGTGCCGCGGGGGTTTGCAGTGCAGCATTAGCGTTAGCATTAGCAGGTCGGGGCTAAAGCTAACGCGCTGGACTGTGAAATAAAAGTGTGTCCACATCATTAACTCCAAACATCACGGCGCCGCACTTTACTCCCAGAAAAAGAGGGAGGAGGACGGAGAGAGAGAGAAGAAGAAAGGAAAGAGAGAGAGAGAGAGGGAGAGAGAGAGGACAGAGGGACAGATGGACAGATGGAGGACGAGACAGAGACAGTAGAAGTTTGAGTGGGACACACTGTTCAGTCCTGCTCCTGCTCACAAATCCCACAGGACGAGGACGTTCACTTTCTAAAGAAGCAGAAAGAAAAATGTGTAAAATGTGTGAAAAATTAAACCACGTCCACAAGTTTAATCTTTTTAAAATGTTTTTATTTATGTCAAATCGAATCTGCAGCACAAACCACGAGACAAACACAATCATCTGTTTATTTCACTTCACTCACATTTACTTTGTGGGACTGAAGTTTATTCTTCTGCCGACTGCTCCCACATCCTGCAGGACCGCTCCTGCCGCTCCTGCAGGACCGCTCCTGCCCGCTCCTGCCCGCTCCTGCAGGACCGCTCCTGCCCGCTCCTGCAGGACCGCTCCTGCAGGACCGCTCCTGCCGCTCCTGCAGGACCGCTCCTGCCCGCATCCTGCAGGACCGCTCCTGCCCGCTCCTGCAGGACCGCTCCTGCCCGCTCCTGCAGACCGCTCCTGCCCGCTCCTGCCCGCTCCTGCAGGACCGCTCCTGCCCGCTCCTGCAGGACCGCTCCTGCCCGCTCCTGCAGGACCGCTCCTGCCCGCTCCCGCCCGCTCCTGCAGGACCGCTCCTGTCTGAGTCTGAGGTTGTGTATCTGTTCGTTGTGGTTGTATGTCGTCATTTGTTGTGTTTGTGTGTGTGTTTTGTGCGTCAGGTTGTGTTTGTGTGTGTGTTTTGTGCGTCAGGTTGTGTTTGTGTGTGTGTTTTGTGCGTCTGAGGTTGTGTTTGTGTGTGTGTTTTGTGCGTCAGGTTGTGTTGTGTGTGTGTTTTGTGCGTCAGGTTGTGTTTGTGTGTGTGTTTTGTGCGTCAGGTTGTGTTTGTGTGTGTGTTTTGTGCGTCAGGTTGTGTTTGTGTGTGTGTTTTGTGCGTCAGGTTGTGTTTGTGTGTGTGTTTTGTGCGTCTGAACGGCTGACAGTGTTTTGACGTTTAATCTCGTGTCATTATCCTGTCGTTGTCTCGTCGTTGTCTTGTCGTGGTCGTCGTGTCGTCGGTGTGTGTGTGTGTGTGTGTGTGCGTTGGCGAGCGTGCAGTTGGCGGTGTGTGTGTGTGTGGTTTTGTGTGCGACGGTTCCTGGTGTATAATTATCCTCTCAGAGTCGACATTAACCCGAGCGCGAGCGGCTTCACTCTGACACCGAGGACACAACAACACGCTTTGTTTGATAAACACTGAGGAGGACGAGAACAGACGCAGCTTCATCTTCATCTTCTACATCAGCTTCATCAGCTTCAGCTTCATTCATCATCTACATCATCTACATCAGCTTCATCTTCATCAGCTTCATCATCTTCAGCTTCATCTTCTACATTTTCATCTTCATCATCGTCTGAAGACTCTTTACTTTGCTCCTTCTGACGCTTTAAGATTCGTTTATTTCACAAAACAAAACCAAAAGCTGGAGAGAGACACAGAGACGCTTAAATAAGACTAAAACAATAACTGCTTCTACAAACTTATTCACACGAGACGAACGACTCAAGGAAACAACACAGAGGACACCACCTAATGACATCATCAGGTGGAACCAAGTGTTTTGACATCAGGAGACATTTTTATTTATTTTGTTTAGTTTCATCGACCAAATCTGTCCAATAGTTTTATTTATTTATTATTTATTTAAAGTTGCATTGTTACCACTTTATCTGGAATGTTCCACAGTGTGGCATTAAACCTTTCTGTCTCCATGGAGACCGAGGCAGACGCAGGTCCAGGTCAGATCTGTGGAGAGGCGACCCCCCCACAGTCAGAATGTTTGTTTTTTTGAGGTGTTTTTGAGACATAAAACCTCCTGTAACTGAATAAATGTAAAGTGGAGCTGTTTAAAGTCACACTGCGGAACATTCCAGAAAATGAAATAACATCTCCATAGAAACGAGCAGGTGACGGACGCCAAACCAGAAAGTGACACAGTGCAGCTTTAATACAGGCCTGAACTTTCTGCTGCTTGAGGTTTTCTGAGGTTTTCTTCAACAGAGAGTTTAGTTTTTTCTTGTTTTCTCGGTTCTGGTCTCGGTTCCGGTCTCGGTTCCGGTCTCAGTTCCGGTCTAGGATCTGGTCTCGGTTCTGGTCTCGGATCTGGTCTCGGTTTTGGTCTCAGTTCTGGTCTCAGATTTGGTCTCGGTTCCGGTCTCGGTTCCGGTCTCGGTTCCGGTCTCAGTTCCGGTCTCAGTTCTGGTCTAGGATCTGGTCTCGGTTCCGGTCTCGGTTCTGGTCTCGGTTCTGGTCTCGGTTCTGGTCTCGTCTCTTTTTTGGTTTTCTTCAGTATTTTTGTTCCACAGAAACACTGAGTGTAAATCTGCTGTTTTTGCAGTGAAGTTTTGCAGAAATATCAAAATATCGATATATCGTTTGGTTTAACGCTCTGATTCAGTATCGATATCGTTTTCTGTTGTATCGATAAATCACCAAGAGGATTTTTTTGGTTTATTTTGTTAAATAATTTAGTTCCAGCTTCAGTTTTGAAACTCGTTTCTGCGACACATTTGACATTTTCACTGTTTTGACAATTTTAATATTTGTGTTTCATTTGAACTTTGCACAAGAAAAAGTGATTTAACAAAAACTTTTAGAATCACAGATAAGATTTACATTTGATTTTATTGAACTGTATTGAATCGATTTAAAATATATCGTATGGAATCCCTCTGCTGCATCGAGGTTTGTATCGTGTCATAAACATAATGATCTCAGCTCTGGTTTGTCAGAAAACCTCCAGCTCCAGATGATGTTGTTGTTGTTGTTGTTGTTGTTGTTGTAAAACTCTTTGTACAAAACAGATTTTGTCAGTAAAAATGGGACCTTCACTAAATCCGTGAGTCGACAAAATGAAGGAGAAGGACGAGAGCGACAGAAACGACTTTACAACACCAGGATCCAAACTCTGACAAACTGATTCTCACTTTTTATTTAGACTTTTGATGAAGATATGTTCACGTTCTGAGCTGAAGTTGAGTCTGAGTCACGTTGTTTGTTTGTTTGTTTATTTGTTTGTTTGTTTGTTTATTTATTTGTTTGTTTGTTTGTTTTCCAGGTGTTCGACTCTTCACTACGACTCAGATCTTCCTCCCACCTCCATCATCATCACCTTCCACAACGAGGCTCGCTCCACCTTACTCCGAACGGTCCGCAGGTGAGTCCCACACCTGTCCACAGGGGGCGCTGCACCTGCTCTGTGTGTGTGTGTGTGTGTCTGTGTGTCTGTGTGTGTGTGTGTGTGTGTGTGTGTGTGTGTGTGTGTGTGTGTTAGGCCAGTCGTACACTGTGCGATTTTTGACCCTTTTTGAGCCGATTTTTCGTTCGTGCGACTGTTTTGGGGCTGAGTTTTGGCTTCATCGTGTGTTGTGCTTCGTGTAGTTTTCATGGGGTAAAGAACCGATGAATGACTCACGATCAGCTCCCGATCCACATTCGTAGGTCACAAGAAAATCAAACTTGTTTGAAACCCAGTCGCCTCTCGTGAGGATTTCGCTCTGTTGAAGTTGTTCCACGAACCGATTTGCCAGAATCTGTCAGACTGAGCAGGTGCAGACGCAGAAGCGGCTCAGCTTTGTGTCTCCGCACATCTGTGGTTTTCTACTTCCGGAACAACAACTTTGAAAACTCCGGTCGTTCATGTGAACGTACAGTGTGAACAGGCAAGTCGCATCCGAGCATCGGTTTGTTCAGTGTGAACATGATTCGTGAGCTGTGAACTGTTAAACCCTGTGATTTGGTCAAACAGTTTAAACTGGAGCTGAGTGACACGACCGAAAATATCACACAGTGTTCGTCTGGCATTAGACTCAGGTGTGTGAAGTCTCCTGAACACACAAACACGTCAACAACACGTCAGTGGTTTGTGTTTTATTTGTGCTGCAGACAGTTGGTTTTGTGTGGTTCTGGTTCTTCTGCGTCGCCGTGAACTTTCTGCTGGTAAAATGTTGGATTATCTCTGAGTTTGTAGTTGATGAAATCTCAGATCTTGGAATAAATCGTTGAAATGATCTGGAGTCGATCGTGTCACTGGTTCCTGAACAGAATCTGATCTGGGTTAAAGTTGGTCACATCATCAAAGTTTAAGTCTGAGGATTTTAAAAACACAGTGAGTTTGTTTGTTCAGGTCGTGAACCTCGGGAAAAAACCTGAAATAAACGAGTCTCACCTCAGTTTCTCCAAACTCCAACAGAATCATTTAAATCAACAACAGATGAAAGACGCAGAAACGTTCAGCTTCAGGAACACGACAGTTTCAGAACATTTAAAGGAACATGTGAAGTATAATACTCCCCACAGGTATAATACTCCCCACAGGTATAATACTCCCCACAGGTATAATACTCCCCACAGGTATAATACTCCCCACAGGTATAATACTCCCTCTGAAATACTCCACAGGTATAATACTCCCTCTGAAATACTCCCCACAGGTATAATACTCCCTCTGAAATACTCCACACAGGTATAATACTCCCTCTGAAATACTCCACAGGTATAATACTCCCTCTGAAATACTCCCCACAGGTATAATACTCCCTCTGAAATACTCCACAGGTATAATACTCCCTCTGAAATACTCCACAGGTATAATACTCCCTCTGAAATACTCCCCACAGGTATAATACTCCCTCTGAAATACTCCACAGGTATAATACTCCCTCTGAAATACTCCACAGGTATAATACTCCCTCTGAAATACTCCCCACAGGTATAATACTCCCTCTGAAATACTCCACAGGTATAATACTCCCTCTGAAATACTCCACACAGGTATAATACTCCCTCTGAAATACTCCACAGGTATAATACTCCCTCTGAAATACTCCACAGGTATAATACTCCCTCTGAAATACTCCACAGGTATAATACTCCCTCTGAAATACTCCACAGGTATAATACTCCCTCTGAAATACTCCACACAGGTATAATACTCCCTCTGAAATACTCCACAGGTATAATACTCCCTCTGAAATACTCCACAGGTATAATACTCCCTCTGAAATACTCCACAGGTATAATACTCCCTCTGAAATACTCCACACAGGTATAATACTCCCTCTGAAATACTCCCCACAGGTATAATACTCCCTCTGAAATACTCCACAGGTATAATACTCCCTCTGAAATACTCCACACAGGTATAATACTCCCTCTGAAATACTCCACAGGTATAATACTCCCTCTGAAATACTCCACAGGTATAATACTCCCTCTGAAATACTCCACACAGGTATAATACTCCCTCTGAAATACTCCACACAGGTATAATACTCCCTCTGAAATACTCCACACAGGTATAATACTCCCTCTGAAATACTCCACACAGGTATAATACTCCCTCTGAAATACTCCACACAGGTATAATACTCCCTCTGAAATACTCCCACAGGTATAATACTCCCTCTGAAATACTCCACAGGTATAATACTCCCTCTGAAATACTCCACACAGGTATAATACTCCCTCTGAAATACTCCCCACAGGTATAATACTCCCTCTGAAATACTCCACAGGTATAATACTCCCTCTGAAATACTCCACACAGGTATAATACTCCCTCTGAAATACTCCACAGGTATAATACTCCCTCTGAAATACTCCACACAGGTATAATACTCCCTCTGAAATACTCCACAGGTATAATACTCCCTCTGAAATACTCCACACAGGTATAATACTCCCTCTGAAATACTCCACAGGTATAATACTCCCTCTGAAATACTCCACACAGGTATAATACTCCCTCTGAAATACTCCACAGGTATAATACTCCCTCTGAAATACTCCACACAGGTATAATACTCCCTCTGAAATACTCCACACAGGTATAATACTCCCTCTGAAATACTCCACACAGGTATAATACTCCCTCTGAAATACTCCACACAGGTATAATACTCCCTCTGAAATACTCCACAGGTATAATACTCCCTCTGAAATACTCCACAGGTATAATACTCCCTCTGCTTCAACTGGACTTGATGTCCTGGGGGAGGTTCTCATTGACCTCAAACTCTTACAAACATGTTGGTTTTTTTTTCTTATATATTTTTATTTTTAAACTTTGGCAAAACTCCACCTCCTCCTCTTCCTCCTCTTCCTCCTCTTCTGCCTGTGGTTTTTTTCGTCCTTGTTCCGTCTGTTTTTCGTGGTGTTTTTGGGTCGTGTGGCGGCGGGGGGCAGTGGGGGCGGTTGGCGGGGGGTGGAGGACGTCTGCCCCCCGTGGTGGTTTGTGAGCGCTGCACTTTCAGACCAATTAAAACTCACCTGTCCCCAAAGACTCAGAGACACAGAGGACGAAGAGGATGAAGAGGATGAAGAGGACGAAGAGGATGAAGAGGATGAAGAGGATGAAGAGGATGAAGAGGATGAAGAGGATGAAGAGGATGAAGAGGATGAAGAGGATGAAGAGGATGAAGAGGATGAAGAGGATGAAGAGGATGAAGAGGACGCTCTCTCTCTCTCTCTCCTCTTCTTCATCATCTCTCTTTCTCTCTGTTCTGTTCTGAGTGAGTTTGTTTCAGAAACATTAGTGATGCAACGATCCAGTTTTTCCCACGATTCAACACGATTCTGAACAAAATATTATTGGTGTAAAATTGTTTTGTTTGACTTTCATCTGATTCCTCCAACATCGTCCACTCGTTTATTCATCAAACTGAACATAAGATTCATATTTATCACATTTGTGTTTTTCTGTTTGTCCCGAAACATTTCACATTTTACTTTAAAACCAAAACAGAGATTTATCAACACAAAACTCGACTAAACCATTATTTTCTTCTAATCGTGTCACGTGCAGAGTTCAGTTTGACTTCGATTCAGAGGCGAGAACTTCTGGATCAGTTTTCACGTTTGTTTGTGACGCGTCTGGAACGACGCTTAAAAAACAAAGTTTGAGGAAATGTTTGATTTTTCATGATGATGTTTGATGATTATTCAGTTGTGGAGGTTTCATTGACTTTTAAGTCAACCTTGACTTGGGACTTGACTTGGACTTGACTTGGACTTTCCTGTATTTGACTTGGGACTTGACTTGGACTTGACTTGGACTTTCCTGTATTTGACTTGGGACTTGACTTGGACTTGACTTGGACTTGACTCGGACTTGACTTGGACTTGACTTGGGACTCGACTCGGACTCGACTCGGACTTGAGGTCAAAGACTTGAGACTCACAAAACAAAGACTTTGGTCCCAGCTCTGGTTTTCACGTCACAGATTTTATTTACATCATCATGTTTCTTTTACTGTTTTAAAAATATTTTATTTGCCCAAAAACGACAAATTCAGAAATATTCTCCCCTCGCTCTCTGTGCTGAGTGGCTCCCCCTTCAGAGCACTGTCCCACACACTCATGAAACTCCCGCAGCACATCAGGTTTGTCGTGTTGTTGTTCAGTTTTGTCTCAGGTTTTTGTGTGTTTGTTTTCGTCCTGGTATCAGAATCGGTATCGAGTATCGAGTATCGAGTGTTCTTCAGCGTGGAGTCTGAGGTGTGAGTGTTGTTGGGCCGTTGAGCAGGACACGTTCGTCGCTGCAGAGTGTTTTTGGATTTATTTTAAAGTCAAACGTGAGTCGCTGCTTCATTAAAAGTGAGAGTTTGAGATTTGGAGATTTTGGCTCCGGACTCAAAGTTCTGATGAGTTTGTAAAGATTTAACCAAGTGAGAAAGAAGCGGCGTCGTTACAAAAGTGTTGCTCTGATAACACAGAGCGAGTGTGTGTGTGTGTGTGTGTGTGTGTGTGTGTGTGTGTGTGTGTGTGTGTGTGTGTGTGTGTGTGTGTGTGTGTGTGTGTGTGTGTTTGCACGTTCTGCCTGTGCCTCATTAAAGAGTCTGATACAAGAGAAACTCGCTCAAACTTTACTTGAACTTCTTCACACTTTTCTTCTATTTTTGTTCCTGGTTTTTTGATGAAGTTGATGATTTTTCTTCCTGGTTCAGTTCGGTTCATGAGGAGTTTGGAGTTTGGTGTTTGGTGTTTTGTGTTTTGTGTTTTGTGTTTTGTGTTTTGTGTTTTGTCCTCGGCTCCGTCAGACGCCACAGTTTTTCTAACACTGAACCCAGAGCACGAGTTTGTTTATGAAGTAGTTTCACATCAATATTGAGATTTAAAATGTCACAGTTAGAACAGAAGGTCAGAGGTCAGAGGTCA